TGTGTGTGTGTGTGTGTGTGTGTGTGTGTGTTTAATTATAGTTATAGTTGACATTCAATATTATTCAACTTCAGCTTCAGGTGTAGAGTACAGTGGTCAGACATCTACACAGTCCCAGGATTTCTTACATCTGTGAGGGAAATGAACTTTTGATTGATGTTCTATTTACTATCGATCAGGCCCCAGATTTTGTGAAAATACATGTTAACTTATGTTTTTGCCCAGCGCAGATGCAAATGATTTTTGTCCAGTAAAAAATATAATCCTAAAAGTTATAGTTATATTGCCCTATTGGATATTAATCTGTTTTTCTAAGTTAAACGTTTCAGAATGCCATCCCCAACTAGCCCTATAAATCTCTGTTCCTCTGATGATCTTTGAATCAGTTTTATGGTTCTCTCATTAATGGATTAAGTACATCTTTGATGATATTCAATCTGTATTTGAATGAGTCATGTTTTTAGCTTTAAAAAAATTATGCTATGATGTCTCATTTTGAAAAAAAAACACCTCATAAATCCAAAACTCAGCAATTCTTAGGTTTCTTTTTCCTCTTAAAGTTCAAGTAAAATTAAATTGGACACTTTTTAGCAGTGCGTAGCTTTTATCGCCAGAACAGAAGAATAATTGTTGCTTTTAAAAAAATAATTTAGGCCAAGAAACTCCTTGGAGGTGATGTAAGACAGATGGAGGTGGGTGACTGGCACCTATTATCTGTACTTCGCAAGCAATATGTTTCTCAAACTCCCGCCCAGGGTATGCCTCAGGTTCATCGTGCAATTCTGAACTCCTTCATCTCTGGGGTCGGCACAGACCTTCTTCCCCTTCTTGGTGATGAAGCTGGGGAGCAAAGGGGAGAAAGATGACACAGTGAGGAGGGTTCTGCAAATGGGGTTGGGGAGCCCCATTCTCTCGGCCCTTCGGATTCTCCACTCAGGCCTGCTGGTTTCTTCCTTTCTCTGCTGCAGGAGCTCAGGGTGTCCCCTCCTTGAGACCCTCCCTCAAGCTCTGAAACTCCCTTAGTGACATGTGGGAGTTGCCTTGGGCAGACCATCTCATGCCTGATGCTCTGTAGGCTCCTACTCTGTTTCCCTGAAAATAAACCTTAGCCGGAGAAGAAGCCCTAGCATGATTCCTCCAGGATATGGAGGGCACGCGCCCCTCACATGAGGGTTTTATGCCCTGTTTCAGGGAGAAGGGTGCCTTTCCCACAAACTCCTTCAGCTTCAAATATTCAGTATGCCAAGGTGCCATATTTTGGCACCTAAAATCATGCAAGGGCTTATTTTCCGGCTAGGTCTTATTTTCGGGGTAACAGAGTAATGAGGACATAAGCCTAATCCTTGACCTGGCAGGATGCAGAGGGTCGGACTTTTCCGGACATCCATCCATCAGGTTCCCCTCCCAAGACATGGCTGGTGAGCTTGGCACTTACATGACAGCAGGCCGGGAACAACTACCGGTTGTTTCAAAATAACTCTCCATGAATACGCATCGGATTTTTCGTGAGCTGTAGGAGGAGCAGCAATCAGCAGGACGGTGAAAGCCTGTAGCAAGAGAAGGGCCATTTAAGGACTGAATTCCTTTTTGAAGAAAACTAGATCCTTTCCCCCTTTACTCCAAAGTACTGGGGAGGGTGAGAAGGCACAGGACCAAAGGGGAGATTTTCCTCCACTACCAGCACTTGCTGGCATCTCCTTGCTTCACTCTCCCCAGGGTTGAGCTGTGTGTCTGAGGGCACCCAGGCAGGGCCACAACAGGGCCAAGATTATTTCTCCCAGAAGAGGAAGGGTTTGATGCCTGCAGGAGGCATCAGAGAGCACCCTCTCCCCCCAGGTGAGCTGATTCCCAGGACGGCCAGGTGGAACAGAGGTCTTCTGTGGAGTAGGGACCCATGGCCCTTTCTGATCTTCCTTGGACAAGTTCACCGCCCTCAGGACCCCCTAGCCCCGCTTTCCCCATGCCTTGTAAACGAGGTGGATTGAAGCCACTGAGCGGATTTGTACCCACCAGTTGCTTTTAAATACTACATATGCCATAACTCGACATTTACCTTGTCCATGTCCCTGTATTGAGAACTCCGGCCACCGAGCTATCATTTTGCGTTCTAATTGGGAGGAACAGACAAGGAAGGAAGAAAAAC